ATTTCTGACTTTACTGCCTTGAACGAAAATTCGTGTACATTTGCGCTGTCCTGTAATGCAAACGCAGATGAAGCACTATGTACCCTGACAGTACCACAGTGCCGTCCTCATTTGTAGTACAATTACACGAGTACCTCGCTGACCTCATCCATCCACTGGACTCTTCTTCCTTTCATTAGCTTTCCTCCTGTTTTCATTTTGGACCTCTCTCACACCGGTTACTTCCTAGTCTTATTTGTCCTTTAATGTTTATGCAAATTTCTCCCTATTTTGGAAAGATTGAACCCACCCCTACATGCAGCAAATTCTTCATTGCAATCACCTTTACTTTCTGCATTTTAAATCATTCAATTGTAGCTTCCAGCCTTTTCTTGCACCCACACCAAACCAAACCAAACCAAACCATTCCTTTGTTGAAGCTGAGCTGTCCGTAGCTCAGTGGATTGCATTCTGGGTTCTCAAGCCTGTTCCATTGGTCTGTGTGTGTCATACCAATACCAGGCTGTCTGGACAATGAAAAGGTACGTTACAGCATGAGGAAATGGGCAGATGGAGCATGCAGATTTATTTATTTAACAGCCAGAACAGCCAGCTACTCAAAATGATTGACAGGTTTGGCATATGCTTAGTAGAGTACCGGAAGTCAGGTTGCTAAGGTGGGTTGTATTATAAAAACTATGAATTATTTAGCTCTGGAGGTGTGATGGATAAGAACCCCGGTGGAGTAGAAGGTTAGGTGTTGGGCTGCCCACCACAAGGTCAGCAGTTTGAACCCACCAGCCCCTCTGCAGGAGACAGACAAGGCTTTCTGCACCTGTAAAGACTTAACAGCCTCAGAAAGTAAAATGTCCATGGCTGCCTAGGAATTTCTGAGATTGGGAAGTGTCAGACCTCATATTTTGTTCTTCATTGATACTTCAGCTGTTTGAAGCCTCTTTGCATATGAAATTAGAGACTAATTTTTCCATTTTGTTAAAGAATGTTGGGATTTAGATTATAGCTATAGGTTGCTCTGGGTGGTAATGACATTTTTCTACCCAATGACTTTTTTCTCCACATTGTTTCAGCTCTTTGTTTACATCTCACTGTCTCAGAGATCATTCTTGTTCACCATATCTAAAGTACTGGATCTCTGCTTTATTTTTCTTCATTGATTTATGTACTTGTGGAACATCGTTCCTCCGTGAATGTTAGTTGTAGTAGCATAACTGTGTCCTTCCCTGCTGTACCCCAGCACTTCCCAGCATTTAGCATCGTCTAGCTTAAAGGTAAGCTACAGAATTAATAGTTGTTGAAGGAATGAATCGATTCACCTATTTATGGGTTATGCATTCCCCGTGGTAGATCCCAAGAAAATACTTTGTTGAGTTTAAGAGTTAAGTTTATTGAATAGGGATGTAATCATGGGGCTTTATTATGACCTTTGTCTAGATGACTTAAGATCTCTGACTTAGGGAAATTGAATATAGTCCTTATCTTGAAAAGATGTTGATTCTCTTAAATCCTTTGATTAAACGATGGGAAATGACTGAGGAGAGTCATGGTGGATCACTCACTGTCTTAGCAGTATTGAGGATGGAGGCGAACTATGAAGTTTAAGAATTTCTTTGAGAGAAGTTTTGTGTTTTGAGTTTGGCATTAGGAGTGTGAGGGAGTGCATTTCCTGGTCTTTTTCTAGTTGGGGACTTGTAGGTCATGGTTGTAGGACAGTCACATTCCCAACGTTGTTATGCTTTGAATTAAAGTAGGACTAGGTAAATCCCAGCTGTAAGCCGTGGCGCCTGGAAAGGGAGGACCTATGTGTGGCACAGTGTGAGTAGGGGGTTAGGAGAGGGTGCTTGCTAAGGGGCGGGGAAAGGTGAAGTAGAATGAGGATGAGAGAAAAGTTGAATAAGACCTTTGCCAATAGTGAATGTAGCTTCCAAAATTTATCTTAACCTCCAGAGACTTCTAGGGAAATATTTTCTCCCAGGGACTGCGAGGGAGGGGCATGTGGGAAGCCATTTCTTGGTATGGTCAGCCCCACATTTCTGAGAAAGCTCACACCAAAATCATGATGTTAGGATCGTTGTTTCAATGGATAAGGAAATTTGTGCTACAGAATGCCAGATTTGGAATAAGAATTATTTTTCCCGCAGGTACTTGCATCTATTATGAAAAAAAATGGTAAAGTGTCTTGACTTAAAATGTAAACATGTCGTTTTTATCACATTAAGCTTTTGAAGGTAGTAAAACCTTGTAGAAGCATGGGCTTTTTGTCTATTGTTAGTATTAGTAATACTAACAATAGTCATTGTTAGTATTAACAAAGCACTAAGCCACTCATACAAGATAGCTGTGCAGCAAGGGCCTTTCGAAATATTTCCTTAGAAATGAGGTGCTGGCTTCCCCAATTTAAAACTATATATAATAGAAATACTGTCCCCTGTAAATTGATCGAGGCAGCTCATACTATAGAATGTTTTGCTGTGATTGACTGGCTGGGTTGAGTTAGCAAGAAAAGATGGGGATGGGGTCCCAACAGATGCTGCTCTGTGACCTTGGGCAATAGTCAGTATTTTAACATCTGGACCATCAGGGACATGGAGGAAGCAGGAGTTCTCATGTTCACAGTTTTCATGCACTTTCCCAAAGTGGGCGGGAATTCCTTGCATGCTGGAATGATCCGAGGAGGCTGCAAAAGCAGATTCCTACACTTCATCTTGGATTATGGGCTCTAGTAGAAAAGTTTTTCATTTCTTTTCCTGAAGAGGGGTGGTAGGCCTGCTACATTTGGGACTATGTTCTAATCCAAGTTTCTGAATCAAGAGCGCAGACGTTCATTTTTGTACAGGTTGAAAAAGTTCCCTGGGTGACTTGTGAGGATGAACATTTCTTACCCAGCCAAGCAAGGCATGTGGGGCTTGTAGTCTATATTCTTTTTTCTTTTGCTGAAAACATTCATGAAAGCTTTTCAGTTACAGTCATCTCATGAATAGAGATTTCAGTTTGAGCTTGGCTTTTCAGAACAGAACTCAACTCTGAAATTGTGGTTGATTGCTTTTATTTTATTTTTTAGTTCTAAGAAATTCTGTCTTTTAGTAAAATTTGTATGCTGTCAGTTGAGTTTAAACTTGGAGGTGTAGCCACCAGGGGGCTCCAATGATAAGTTATAAAACTGCTTTAATCCCTTACTGACATCCTCTAAATACCAAAGACTGTCATAAATGCATATACTGAGCTTGGACTTAGGACCTAGGGACAGAAGGTCTTGCCAATTTTGAGTTGACGCTTCAATTTTCTTTCTTTATATCACTTAATGATTATTGAGTATATAAAAACCTGTTAAAAAAAAACAACCTGTTATATGAGGGTAAGTAAAAAGTATTCCTATGTGCATGGGTTTATTCCAGACATGGTATATTTAGCCGTGTCTCTGTGATCAGTAGATGAGTACAGAGCAGTTCTTTCATTAGGATGCCTTCCACAAAAACTTTTTTTGATCAAAATAGCCCTCCCAAGGGGATCTGCTGGACCAGTAAAATTCAAGACACTAGTCAACTCAAGCCGGTTCTGGTAGCTGTTTTTTGGGATCCTAAAGGAGTAATTTGATAGACTTTAAGGAAGAGCACAGAAAAATCACAGTGGCTTATAAAGGAGTTTTTAAGAAAATGGAAATCTGTATCAGTGAGAAAAAGATCAGAAAAGTTGCACCAACAAAAATTTCCCCATCCCGAGGGTGCACCTTACGGTGAGGGTAGCAAGGGCCATCCTACAAAAATTTCACTAGGAAACTTTACCTTTCCATCCCACAAACTTGATCTTGCCCCTTCAGACGGCTTTTTGTTCCCCAAACTCAAGGGATTTTGAAAAGGAACACGATTTGGTATCCTCAGGATGGAGAAAGTGCCCTTTAACGTGGTGTAAACTGAAGAGTGTAGAATCCCTGGGGAAAGGTTAAAGACATGGAAGCACCCCCTTTAGAATCTGAAAGAAATAGATGGAGGATATGTCATAGAACAGTAGCATCATGTTTTGATATTTTTGTCTAGGAAAGGTTTTTGTGATTTTGTAGCAATAAAGCTTTGTACTAGCAATTAGTTTTTTGAGAAATCTCACTTTCATTTCCTTTGTCTTATGCCCTGATTAGAAATCTTAATACAGACTTGCAATAACATAAATGATATAAGGTCTGTAGTACTTAGTTTGTTCCAGGGGCTTCAAGCAATTCAGAAATGGAATTACAAGAGGGTGGAATTTTTCCACTAACTTAGGCCCTCGTACTCTGTTAAGGGTGCCTGATAAAATGCTAAGCCACTTAGTAAAGGGCACTCCTTTAAAAAATTAAGTTCTTTGTACCTTAATCGTGGCTTGGGTGCCAGATATATTTGTAGGTTAAGGGTGCCTTTAAATAAAGTTGGGAAGCTCCTTATTTCACTTCACTCCCTTAATCAAAGCTAGGATTGCTGGATCTACAAGGGGATAATGAGTCGATCCACTGCACTTCTTAGAACCTGAAGGAGGAATCGGCAATTAGACCTTCTAGGCTTCTCACAACTTTAGAGACATGACTGTTTGCGCTTAGGCTGAGAATTTCTCCCCCTAGTTATCACCAGTGTGTTTATATTACTTTATCAAAATAACCAGGGACTCATTTCTGCTTTAAAAATTCATCAGCCAGCATAGAAATCTTTATTCCGGGGCAGTATAAAGGGAATTTCCAAAAGTTTGTGCAAAAATTATATGAACTTTTTGAAGCTTGTATATGTTCTTCAAAGTTCTGGGTCTCTCTTGGATGGTGGAAGAGAAGTCTCAAAGGTGAGTTTGTTTTTTAAAAGAATATAAGCACGTAGGAATTTTATATGTAAGAGGCCATATTGTTTCTCCATTAAGATAGAATTGTTACCCATTAAGATAGGTATATCTGCTAAGAGCTAAGTAGGTAGTATGTTTTCTATGGCAAGATTTGTAGAAAGAATTTGAGGACATAATGTTGTATGTACTGTCTTCCTTTGTTGCAGGTTGAATTGTGTTTAGAGTGCATCGAGTGGGCCAAATCAGAGAAAAGAACTTTCTTACGCCAGGCTTTGGAGGTATGCATGAACGCCTGAATTAATGCTGAGTTTAAGTCTGTAGGCACTAGGCAGACTCTGGGCGAGTGAAGTAATACCATCCATAACAAAAGTATTTTTAACAGCTTGGTATTGCCCAGGCACCCATAGATTATCGAGAGTAGTCCTCATCTTAAGAATTGCCTGTGTCGTAATTTTGAGATAGTCCTGCTGTTTTGTTTAGGGAAATAAGCAGTAAAATGGTAAAGCTAACATGTCAGTCACTGACCATAATAGAAGATAGTATTGTGGCCCAGATAATTTTTTATGCGATCTTCAGTTCAGCATGTTGTATATTCAACAGTAATAGTTCTATGACTGTCAATCTTTGATCCCCCCGCCCCCCTTCTCATCATTCAATGCTTATTCTCTTTCCCAGGCAAGACTGGTGTCTTTGTACTTTGATACCAAGAGGTACCAGGAAGCATTGCATTTGGGTAAGTAAACTGGTAGGAATTAAGAAATCCTAACGGGATAATTGAATACAATTTGAGTCTGGTTACTCTTATAAATCACAATAAATATTTGTATTTTTCCAACTTCTGTGACAATTTTAAAGTCTTTCCGCAAGCATATCAGGGGAAAATGCCACTTGGAAGTTTAGGAAATTGATTAGGGTTGATAAGTTCAGAGATCAAAAGGGGTCAGTTTTTAAATTCACTTGCAGTTTGAGCAGTAATATTTAGCTCCTTGTAATACTGATTTTTTGGTCAATGTTTATCTTCATTTTTCATATAATCTCAAATGTCAGAGCTAGTTTAAATTAGAAATGTTTCTCTGGTTATTACACTTAACTGTATTAATAATTATTATTTTAAAATTCAGAAATTGAGTACAAACATGTATGGAAGCTGCAGTGAGGGAATTGAAGAAGTGGGCCAACCTATGTGCCCTTTCCCACAGGGCTGAAAACTAATTTGAACTATTCATTGATGGCTGACGAAGCAAAACTGGAACAAACTAGAGTTTTTGAAATTTGGGCAACCTAGAACTGGAAAAATTATAGCTGGAGACCCTGAATGGGGAATTCGGAAGAGGTGTACTGAGCCGTTCAGGAGCCTGATGTGGGAGATCGAATTATTGGCAGCATGACAGAATGTGAAACACATTCAACATGGCTGGTCCCTTGCTTTATTTGGGCAGAGCACCACTATTTCTAACTGCTCAAAATCCAGTGGGCAAGGGATTTGGTTGTATGCAGTGTGTACACTGTGCTTGTTTCTAAGAGAGTGACTAAATTTCTAGCAGGACTTTGTTCCTGATATTTCCCATTCTGGTTATTGTTCCAGTTCACCCCCATTTTGAACATTTGGACCTATTCATCTTATGCATCCTTGGCCATGACTGAATTGGGAAGAATTGTTAGCAGCCCTTTTTTAAACACCCACAAATAGTACCCTGCTGCTTGTTTTTATTAATGAATAGATTTGGACTTTGCCCCTGTTGGAGAAAACATGGAGTTCATGATCTGTGAAGTTGGGGGAATTGCCAGTAGTTGATTTTTAAAAAAAATCTTGCTAAAATGGTATTTCCTATGGTTCAACCCGATAGTACATTAAATCAAGCATTGAGATAGAAGTCAAACCTTAAAGTTCAATGTTTAAAAGTATACAATTTAGTGGTCTTCAGTTTGTTCTCAGAGTTGTGTGACTACCATCACTATCTGTGATTTCAAAATATTTTCATCAGTGCTCGCTTTGGCAGCACATATACTAAAATTGGAACGATACAGAGAAGATTAGCATGGCCCCTGCACAAGGATGACATGCAAATTCGTGAAGCGTTCCATATTAAAAATATATATATAAATTTTCATCATTCCAACAACCCCATAACCACAGCTTTCCCCTCACTGTAGGCAGCCATGAATCTACCTATGTCTCTAGATGTGTCGATTTTAGGAATTTCACATAACAAACTTACACAGTGTGTTGGCTGTTGTGACCCACTTCTTGCACTTAGCACAGTGTTTTCCAGGTTCATTTATGTTGTACATTTGTTATTATTTCACTCCTTTATTCTGTTATATGGATGTGCCACATTTGGAGAATTATTCACATTCCTAATTATTGTTTTATGGTTTTTGTTGTTGTTCCAACATGCCAGAGTATTTTGTTTTTAAAACTTTTTAAAAATCATTTTATTGGGAGCTCTTACACAGATATCATAACATTCCATAGCCCAGTGACTTCAAATTTTAATTTCTTTAATTGGGTTGTCTTTTTATTGCTTATTCTGGATACATGTCCCTTATTAGATCTGTGATTTGCAAATACGTTTCCCACATTCTGAAGTTTTTCACTTTCCAGGTAGTATCTCTTGAAGCACATTCTGGTTTTGATGCACTCTCATTTATCGCCTCCCCCCTCCCCCCAATTTGTGTTGTTTATACTATTGGTTTCATACCTAAGAAACCATTTTGAACTTGGCTTCTATTCCAAAGTCACAAAGATTTACTCTTGTCTTTTTTTCTGAAAGCTTTATAGTTTTAACTCTTAACCTTTAGCCTTTAATTCACTTTGAATTTTTTTGTTATTATTAAATCATTTTATTGGGGGCTCATATGATTCACTTTGAATTTTTATAAATGTGAGTCTCTGGTTTGATACTCTTCTCAGTCTGCACTGGAGAACTAGTTCCACTGGAGAGTCACACTGCATGTAAACCATAGGATTGCATTTCTAAACCTCTTCATTTCAGTGTTGTCTGTAGACTATAGAAGCCTTTGAAGAGGCCTATATTTCTCTTTTTGAAGATGGACATATTAGTGAGAAATGTAATTTTATCATGAGACCTTATAGGTAACCTGTTTTTGAGTTAAACAGTTTCTTCATTTGAAGTGTTCTGAGGGTGAAAGCATGATGCTACAGGATTAAGGTACTAGGGATTGTGGCTAATATCGGGGTCTGTATCTTCCATCCCCAGGTTCTCAGTTGCTGCGGGAGTTGAAAAAGATGGACGACAAAGCCCTTTTGGTGGAAGTGCAACTTTTAGAAAGCAAAACATACCACGCTCTGAGCAACCTACCGAAAGCCCGAGCTGCCTTAACCTCTGCTCGAACCACGGCAAATGCCATCTACTGCCCTCCTAAATTGCAGGCCACCTTGGATATGCAGTCAGGTAACATTTGTAGCTGCTCGTGGGTTACCTTTGTGTAGCTCCCTTCTGAGAGAGAACGGGATCTTCAGTGTCGGTTTAGTTTTTCTTCTTTCTAGTTCTTCCTTGTTCCCTCTCTAATCACATTCCTTCCCACAACAGAACACCTCACAGAACCATAATAGTCTCCTCATCTAGATCTCCAGCAGCCTCTTCTAAAGTCCACATCCAGATTTCTGGCTGCTTAATGGACATCTGTACCTACATGTCCCATTCCACCCACTGCCACTGAGCCAGTGCCAACTCATGGAGATGCTACACAGGGTTTCTGAGGCTGTAAATCTTTGTGGGAGAACATAGCCTCACATTTCTTCAGAAGAACAGCTAGTGAGTTTGAACTGTCAACTTTGGGGTTAGCAGCCCAACACTTAACCTTTAGTGCCAAATGTTCCATAGGCACCTCAATCTCAACTTCTCCAAAGCCAGATTTGCATCCAAAACCTCCATTCCAACTGTTCTTTCTGCATTGTTTGTCTTAGTTAATAGTCTTATTATTGTTAATTGCTCAAACTATTGTCTTTGGAGAAATTAGGGCTCCTTATAGTTCATCTATAATATCCAGTCAGCAACCAAATCTGACCTCTTTTCCATCTCTGCAGCCACTGATAAAATTAAGGCCTACCCTCTCTAAGCTGTCTTTTACATCTGACCATCATCACTAATCAGGTTTTCTAAGTTCACCTTACTAAGTTCAAGGTCATTTTTCTCAACCACAAATATAATCATGCAATTCCCCATCACTCCCAGGATTAATTTTATTTTAGTGTGGCGTTCCAAAGGAGGCTGGCTTTTCCTTTGCATTCTCATCTCTGGTGTCCAAATGGGTTCAGATGACTTCCTGTGCTCTGAGTGCTCCTTGCTGTCTCCTGCTTGTCTGTGTCTTTGTGTAGTTTGTCTTCTCTGCTTGGAGTTCTCATTTTTACCTTGCCCCCTTGGCAAACACTGAGTCCTCAGGGCTAACTTAGCGGTCTCTTTTGTACCCTCCTTTGTGGACCTTCTTTGCCTTATAACTTCTGGAACAAAGGTATATGTTTTTATGCATACTATAGTCTTAATTACCTTGTGTCCAGTGTTGGTGACCATCTTTCCCGCCAGACTGAGCTCCTTGGGCTATTCATACACATATTCCCTTTAATAACAAACTGCTTCAGTGCATGGCACATAGTGGTTGATACGGTACACCATCAAGTCCTTTGAGGCTCATAGCCATCTTCTAAGACATTCTAAGGCTGCCCTGCAGGGTTTCCTAGGCTGTAGTCTATACAGGTGGCCAGATCGCTTCTCCCATGGAGAGGATGGTGGGTGTAAACTGCTGACCTTGCAGCTGCCAAGTACTGAACCATTTTGCAACCAGGGCTCCCATGGCACGTGATAGGATCCTGTGAATACTGGTGTTGAGGGCCCAGTTTTTGCTTTCATCTCCAACATGACCATTAATGTATTTGGGAAAACAGTATACCAGTTGTTGGGCCTTTCTTTATACATACACGGTATATTTTACCAGATTTACTTTGGGGTCTGGTTTGTTCTCCTAGGTGTGGATTTGGGGATCTAGAAACATGATTCGGTTTAGCAGAATTGACTGTTTTTGAGAGGGCTTTCCTTGACTACAGAGAAGGACAGGTTTAAGAACAGAAGTAGGACCTGATTTCTCTAGTCTCAAAATGAAAGCGTAAGTCAGAAGCTCCCCGCCGGTGTACTTGGCACCGAGATATGGTATCGGTGAGTTAAAAACCAAACTCACTGAAGTGCTTCTGACTCAGTGGCCCTAGAGGACAGGGTCTGCGCCAGTGGCATTCCAGACTGTAAATCTTTACAAGAATAGAAAGACGCATCTTTCTGCCTGGGATTAGCTGGGAGTTTTGAATGGCTGACATCGCAGTTAGCAGCCCACCTCATAACACACCATGTCACCAGCGTTCCAAGACGTGAGTTAAAGTTGTATAGAAATGTGGGTCCTCTGGGTGGTCACAGGGCAGCACCCTGGTACATTCACTCTCATGTGCTACATTGTGTCTGTGTGTGCCTAGGTGGGAAGCACTGTGGTAAACGGATGGACGAGGCTGAAGTCTGTGGCCTCACCTCCAGGGTCTGGGGCAGAGTTAAAGCTGATTACATGAGGGGGACTCAAACAGTACCTGGAAAAATTCCACTCTTTTAATTCTATGTTTTTAAGAATGTTTTGAAGCTCCCTCAGATAGAAGTACAGAATCTTAACATTTAGGTGGCTCCCAAGCTAAAATGAAGTTAATTTTTATGTTATCCCAAGTTATAGCATACATTAGAGGTAATAGGAGGTTCAGTCAAAGCTAAGCTCATTGGGAGTAGCCCATCGTATTACAGCAGAGAATCGGTTAGGTGAACTCCAGTGTTTCAGCCTAAAGAGAGTGTTCAACCATGGGCAATTAACTTCAAGGGTTTGGCATTCTATGAAATCTCACACTGATTGCATCTAGGCAAAAGCATATCTGAGACTGACAGATACCTGAAAATAAGGCTGTGAAAGGTTGAATTCTCCCCCAACCCCCATGAAAGATGCTTAAGTGTAAAAATAGCAAGCTTACCTGAGCTACCTTAAAATAATGCTTGGTCTTATTAACACTCATCTTTCAAACAGACTAGGTAGGGACACTTAGGTAAATTGCCTGAGCTGTGAAGGTGAGATGGGGTTAAACATGGCCTTTTCCTGTGTGTCTAGACGTTGGCAGGATGAGAGCAGTGTGTGAAGCATGAGAGAAAGATGTGGTCTTTCGGATCCTCCTGGATTCGGGTCTTGGGTGTCTTGGGAATTTATATTGGCAATTTGGCAATATGAAATTGAGCTGGGAAGGCTAAAGGTTTGGGCTCTGTCCCCAACTCTGCCACCTGCTGGCTGTGCCTTTGATCAGATCCTTTATCCTCTCTCGACCTCACCTGTAAAGTGGTGGATTGGACTGCTTGTCTGCGGTCCCTCCAGCTTGGGTCTTTAATGGGTTTATTCATAGGGTTCTCACTGCTTTCTTTTTAATGTGCAGGTATTATCCACGCAGCAGAGGAGAAGGACTGGAAAACAGCATACTCATATTTCTATGAGGCATTTGAGGGTTATGACTCAATCGATAGCCCAAAGGCCATCACGTCTCTGAAGTACATGTTACTGTGCAAAATCATGCTCAACACGTAGGTGCACATTACCTTTGGAGTCTCACATGGTCCAGGCTGTCAACTCTGCTGAGACAGAGAGGGCTTGGCCAGTTACTACAGCAGCAGCTTTGGGGCAGGTTTGGGTAGAGTTGGGGTATGTCCAAGTTAGTCTCCAGAGTGGGGGAGCGGTGGGGGCAGAGTTTAGAAATCCCCTTTCTGACCCTTCTTGGAGAGTCCTCTCATCCTGAAAATATTCTATATCACCTGCTGAGCACAGGGCAGGGGAGTCTCCCAGTGCTCGTCCACTGGGCCACCTAGTATGGAGGCGGTGGGGGAGCCTTAAGGAGTGATTTGAAAAGTAGACAAGAGAAAGGATATGAGTCTAATCCTTTTGTAAGGAGGCCTAGTAATTATTTACTTTCTTCTGGAATGAATGAGCTGTGTTTTGGGACTCTTGGGATGACAAGAGATTTTGTTTAATAAAAGCCATTGTGCTGGGATTTGATTTATACTTATTCAACTTGTAGGGGTCTGTTAGTCTTGCCTGGTTCAGTGTAGCTGTCTGCTGAAGGTTGGACCTGTCTACCGTCCAGTGATGAATGAAGAAACCATAGCTCTGTGTGAGGGGCGGGCGTGTGGGTCTGGGTGTTGGGACTAATGATCTCTGTGGGTATTTTGGTAAAAGGGAATTCGTTTCAGACCTATACTTGGAAGTCTCCTGGAGCCGTTGGCCAAGTGCATTTTTCTCTTTTCCCAGGCCAGAAGATGTCCAGGCCTTGGTGAGCGGGAAGCTTGCACTCCGATATGCTGGGAGGCAGGTAGGAGCCCCTCTAGCATGCTGTCAGAGTCCGTGTTCTGGGAGACCAGTGCCTGCCAGGTCACCACTCTGCTCTCTCTCCTTCTTTATCTTTGCGGAAGCACACAGCCACATCTTTCTCCCTCGGAGAGATTGGTGGGTTCAAACCGCCAGCCTAATGGTTAGTAGCGCCCAGGTTTAGCTCACTGTGTTACCAGGGGCCCTTCTTACTACAGAGGAGTTATTTTTTTCTTTTCAATGAGACTGATTGCAGGAGAACCAGATTAGGCATAAGAAACTGGCTCTGGGCTGGCGTGCTCTGTGCGGTCACGTTGGTGTCAGGACCTGGAGGCTGTGAGAGAACTGCTGTAATGCTTTCCTTCCAGTCCTCTCTTTCGGAAGCAGATTTCCAGGTCTGTTTTCCTGTGGATCCTCTGGTGGGTTTGAACACCAAACCTTTCGATTAGCAGCCGAATGCTTAACCATTGCACTACCAGGGTCCCTTCTCCTTTGTTTGAGCCTCTTCTTCCCCTTAGTCCTAGGCAGTATGTTCTCCACGGTATTAAATGATTGGCCTGGAAAACCAGTGTTTGCTACTTGAAGGACTTAGCTAAAATCTTTCAGGCGGTTTGAGGATGTAAAGAACTGAGCTACAGCATTTGCAGTGCGTTAGATGTTAAAGAACCTTGGTAGTGTTGTGGGTTATTCATCGGGCTGCTCATCACAAGGTCAGTAGTTTAAACCCACCAGCAGTTCCACAGTAGAAAGATTTACAGCCTCCAGAAGTCACTTGTCTACGTGTATGTAGGACAATGGCAAGTGACTAGTCAATGATGGGCACAGACTTTGAACGTGGTTATCTGTAAGCTCCAGGTCTTTTTAATTACGGCATTTGTTCCGTGGATAGGACAAATCCAGGACACACAGAGTACACTAGTCTAATGTGCTGTACAAGGCACCCCAGCCCGATGTAAGTACAGCGGTTGATATATGAGTTACTCCTCTAGTCCTTTGTACCTTGATGGCAGTTTCCTAGTTGGAGTCAGCCTAAGAGCCTGGACAGATGAGTGGGGGAGAGTTCTTGCAGAGTGGAGACCTGGTAGTTTGGGCCGGTGCCTGTTAGTACCAGGTTAGAAGCTGCCATCAGCCACTGTTGGTACCTTCATTACTTTGTAGAAATTTGTAAAAAATCACTTTAGCAGTTTTTAACCCACAAGCTACCTAAGTCCACCAACTTGTCTTTTGGGTTTTAATGTTCGGTCCAATAATACAGACTGGAAGCCACAACCCCAGTAGGCAAACTTATCATACTGAATCGTGGTAAGAGTCTGAAAAGGACTTCAGAGTGCTAGTGGTGGGAGAGGAAAGAAATCACGTTGTTTGAACAGTTTCCCTTTCAGCTTGTGATTGCTGTGTCATGAGCTATATTTTGGGGTGGGGCTAGGGGAGAGAGAAGCCCTTGTCTTGTCTGTCATTGCTAACTCCAATTTCAAAGGGAAATGGTTTGGCACAAAGTGGTGATCTAGCTTTTCTTCCCAGGTCTCTGAAGAATAGCGATGGGGGTGGGGGTTAGGAGGGTAGGGGTAGGCAAGGCTCTTCCTTGCAGCCAGAAGTGTGGACATAGCTGACTGCTCGTGCTTATTCGGTAGAACGTGAATATGTGGACTAGATCACGTGTATGCTTTCTCTGTGCTTTCAGACAGAAGCATTAAAATGTGTGGCTCAGGCTAGCAAGAACCGATCACTGGCAGACTTTGAGAAGGTGAGCATGGTCGGGCTGCAGGGTGTGGGCAGGCATGGCATTGGAGCATTTCTGCCTTGGCTAGGTACCGAAGCACTTGGGGGGAAAACCCTGTTATCTGGAAATAATAATAGTTTTAATAGGAAGTGGCAAAGGTAGGACAGAGCGAGGCCTTCCATCTTTAACCTCCTCTCCTCCAGTGGTTACCTCCTACCTAAGTATAGATCAGAACCGGGAATTAGTTAAGCACGTACGGACAAGGATGCTTACATGTATTGTCACACTTGATTTTATATAGTACTTATCAGTTTTAAAAGTTACTTCTGTCAAACAAAAGTTACTTTTGTCATCCTTTTTATCTTAATTTTTCAAAACAAACTTATTAACTGCACTTCATGGTTGAGGGAGCTGGGACTGGGGATCCCCAAAGCCACATGGCTAATAAATAGCTGTCTTTGACTTTAGGCCACAGGGCACACCAGGCACGCCCTTTCAGGTGCAGGAATTCGGGGCTGCTGCTCCTGATTGGAGAGCAGAGGAGTCCGCCGGGTGGGGAGAAACGACTCCCTCGGGGATGTTGTAGGCTTCCTCTGGTGTTCCTCTTAGTATTTTCAGAGCTTTGAAAAGGGAGGCATTTTGTATAAGCAAAAAGTTGAGGCTTGTATATTTGTTTTTCCAACCTCTGATCTTACTGTCCAAGTATATAAAGACCAATTTTTAACACAAAACCTAGAGCCAGGAAGAACAAATTTAGTGTGGCTACACTGTCTCCAAGAGTCATCATCTCCATGAGGGTTTCTTGCTGACTGTCCCTTACTTGGCTTGATTTATGTGCTCCCCTTAACAAAGGCACAGCTGACATGAGGTTGGGATGTTGAGATCATTGACGAAGGTAAACAAATCACTTATGTGAGTAAATACTCCAGACATCTCAAAGTATGTCTGGAGTGTTAAGGTTCTGTGGTCAGACCTGTGGGCTCACTAAACAAAGCGAGAAGTGTTTTCTGTACTCTGCGCTATTGCTTAGGAAGCTCCAAGAGTTAGCTGTGGTGTTCAGTATTTCCCATTCTTAGGCCCCAGAGACCTGTTTGTCGTGTGAAATACATGTTGAGAAATGCTGAACTGCCCTTGGCGTACACTGTTGGAGTCATCCACAGAGGGGACGCTGCTACAGTGACTCTGGGCGCCTCGCTCTTGGTGCTCTGTTTCTTCAGCCTACTGCCCTGAGTTTCCTTCCCTCTAACGCCCCAGGATTTCTAATCAGCCTTGTGATTTTAAAGACCAGCAGCCGGCTTGGGAAGCCAGAAGTAGGGTGACTTTCCAGTGCCGCTGTGCCAATCATCTCTCGGGCTGGCTGTTTTGGCAGGCCCTGACTGACTACCGGGCTGAGCTCCGGGATGACCCAATCATCAACACACACTTGGCCAAGTTGTATGACAACTTACTGGAACAGAATCTGATCCGAGTCATTGAACCTTTCTCCCGGGTACAGGTGAGACCCCTCCTGGAATCCCCAAACCCTTCTCTGGGGGAGCTGGGGCCTTGGCTCTCTGTCCTTACTGCAGCCCCCTCCCTAGTCACACCTGTCCAAACTAGGAACTTGGGTCCAAGCGTGTGCCTGGTGGGCCTGAAGCTACCAACTGCCTGGGCTTCTCTCGCCAGGGACAAAGAGTTGGGGAGAATAGGATGCTGTGGGTGGAGGCCAGTGTAGTTGTCCCCTGCATGTGTCCTGAGTGTGGGGGTCCCCTTGCTTTTCCTGTCACTGCTCTCATGTGGGTAGTGTTTTGCATGGGGACTGTCTGGAAGGAGTGTGTTTCTCATCAGTTAGTGATGAAGGTCAGTTGGACAGAGTCTGAGAGTCCTGACTCAGTCCTCAGCTCAAAGAATCTGGTCCTGTAGACCCCCAGCAGGGTGGGCGACATAACACACTCCCCTCCGTTCTCTTCTTGGAGTGAAAGCTGTGTTAGTGTCTGTCTTTCCTTGTAGATCGAACACATATCGAGCCTCATCAAGCTTTCCAAGGTAAGGAGCCCCGCGAGGCTGTTGTGGGGTTGGGCAGGCAGGGAAAGGGGGGTGGTGTTCCCACTTATTGGCCTTGTTGGAAAGACCCCGAGTTTCTTTCCAGAGGGGAGGTTGGGGGAACCAGGCCCCCCGGGCTCAGAGCTGGAGGTTTCTTGTGGCTGCTTTTGTGCTTTTAGCCTCTTCACCTTAAGAGCTATTAAGCAGTTTTCGTGTCCTTCTGATTCTTGCCTAGTGGGGACACAGGTCCCTTTAATCACATGCTTTGATTTTAGGCCGACGTAGAGAGGAAGTTATCGCAGATGATTCTGGACAAGAAATTTCATGGTGAGTAGCAACTCCTATAGACAAGGGGGCTGCTGGTGGTGACGGGTGGTTGGAGGGGCACCTTGCTTTTGCTCATGTGTGAAGGCTGTGCTCTGTTGGTTCCTGCTCCCCCCGAGGTCCCTGCCCCTTAGCTCTGTGATGAGTGTTTTGTAGGCATGCACAAATAGAACGGCGGGAGCAGCCCTGTTCCCCTTCTTTTCCGGAAGGAAGCCAGGCTGCATCTGTGTCCCAGTGCCTTCTTGGCCAAGCCCTTTGACCTGGGTTGTCTTGTGTCTCCTGCAGGGATCTTGGACCAGGGGGAGGGTGTCCTGATTATTTTCGATGAACCCCCAGTAGACAAAACTTATGAAGCTGCTCTGGAAACCATTCAGAACATGAGTAAAGTAGTGGATTCCCTCTACAACAAAGCCAAGAAACTGACATAGGTGAGTGCTGGCTCTGGGATGCAGGGCCAGGGGCCACGCTGCCTTCTGCTGTCGACTGACCGCCGCCCCGGTCCCGGCCGCGTCCCCGATTGACGCTGCCCTGTCTTCTCTTGCAGAGTTGGATCTGTAGCGGTCCTTTGGAGAGTGTGTGTGGCGGGAGAGTGAAACCTTTGGGGAAAATGCTAGGAGATTTTTTTTCTTTTTGTTCTACTTTTCGCTCGGAAAGTTTTTAACTCCTCATTTTGGTGCATCTGTATTCCAGTCAATAGGAGGGCCGGTTTTCATGTAATCTCTACTGGCCCAACTTGGGAGTGGGGAAATTGCTTTAAAAAAAAAAAAAAAAAGGAAAAGGAAAAAAAAGGTTATTCTAAATAAAAGGAAAAAGGCTTACACTACCTAAAGCTGTGCTCTCTGCCTCCTGGGAGAGGGCCTCGAAGCCAGGCCCCCCCGCCTGCCACGGGGCACTGATTTACCCGCCCGCCGGTGTCACCTCTCCTCTTCAGAATTGGGTGTTTGCAGACCATCAAAAGCAACGACTTTTTATTCTGTTTGTACTGAACCAAAACAAACAACTGTGTATAGACTGCTATGTTCTTTGTTATCTGAAACGAGGCGTTTCGGTGTTCTCTCTGCCCTCTGGCCTGCCCCTTGCACCACCCCGACATTGGTTCCAGCAGACTGGCCGGAAGCCTCGCCGCTGCTATCGCCGCCACTGCAGCTGCAGCAGCAGCATCTGCACGGCTCCGCTCAGACCTGTGAAGGAAGAGGGACGAGGCCAGGAGCTAGTGTCGCCACGGCCACACAGGGAGCAGTGTGGGCCCTCAGTCCCCAGGGGGCCTGCTGTGCATGTGGCTTTTTTTAACGCAGTAAACTAGATTAGACGTCAGTGTTTTAATTGCCCTTCTTCTCTGCTCTTTTCTCTCTCCTCTCTCTTTCCCCTCTCAACCAGGAGACCACCCATGTCTCTTCTCTTCTCTGTCCCCTCCCGAGGAGTCGGGCTGTCGGAAACCACAGCCTCCCTCCCTGGGCCGGTCCTCCTCTCGCTGTCAGATGGATTGAGTCCTTTTAAAACAGTGAACATCGGAAATGAGACTGTGGGGTGTGTCTGCTTTGTTTTTTTTAATTTTTCTTGTTGGGTTTGCAAGCAACCTCATGTCCCTCCGGGAGCCTCCTGACAAACACGGGGATGGGAGGTAGGGCACTGTCAGCAGCATGCTTTTCCTTCTGACCAGGGGGCAGAGCCCGCTCTAATGCCATTGCGGCAGGTAAGCTTCTGCACCTTAGTTGTGCCCGACCTTATTCTCTTCTGCCTCTCATCTCTGTCTTCTCTCTCCCCTCTGCCTCGTTCCTTCTGGCCGCCTTTTCTCTGCCCTATCTCAGATAATCCTTCCAGGGTTTCTTAAGAAATTTATATTTTGTAAAAGGATTTTGTTGTACCAGGTTTTGCATCCTCACCGAATCTGACTGGCCTTTAGTTTCCAAAATCAGGTTTTTGTTTTCCACATCTCTCCCCGTCATGTCCAGTCACTGTTTGGGTTTGGCACCATCAATATCAAATGTACAAACGGTTCTTGCTAACCAACACCAGGTATATCTGATGTTCAGATGAGTTCCAATAAAAATAATTTTTTTTTCAAAAGCTGTCCTTTTTTGAGTGTTGGAGGGCTTCGTTGTTGCCCAGCAGTTGCCTAGGCCTGAGATGCTTACTGAGCCCCTCAGCGAAACGACAAAGCCTTTGGGCAGCAGCAGGGTTGGGCTGAAGTCTTGGGTCCAAGTGAAATGGTGTCGAACTCCCCCCCCCCCCCCCCCACACACACACACACACACACACACACACACACACACACACACACGGCTTGTTCCTCATCTGCACGGTGAGGTGGTGCTGCCGTGGCAGGTCCGTCGTGGGAATGTCAGGAGGTACTAGAGGTGCTGGGCCCTGGACACCGCCACTCGTCTCATTCTGCTCCAGTGGTTTTCCCACAGGGCTCAGGGTGACTGCACTCTGTCTCTGTCATTGATTTGCAGAGTGCATTTTGCTGCTTTTAGATTTAAAAAAATATTCCAGAGAGACCCAGAGCTGGAGCAGAGGGCTTCCTACACCGAGGGCAGTCTGCGGGCTCAGAGCAGCAGCCCTCCCCACTCTTCCCTTTGTGGGTCTTAGACAGCCACCTCTAGACCTGCGCAGTTGACAATGCAGCCAAGAGCTAGGTATAATTTTAAGCCAGATTTTGGAGTCTTGGTATTAAACAAAAAAGCTTGATAAACTTGTTGGAATATCTTGAGTATAAACACATGACTAAAACCTGCTTCTAATTTTCAAATGTGTTATTAGAAAATAAGGTCACACTTCATTTCTACTGGACAGTGCGACTCCAGGTGCTCTAGCAGTCGGGCCACTGCATCCCTTCCCGGGGCTCGACTGAGGGGCAGGTGGTCCACAGGCTGGCCTTGGCAGCACCCTTCCTGGTGTGGAGAGGAGGAGGTAGAGTTACGTAATCTGTGCTGCCCAGAAGGGCCTCTAGATGCTGCTCTCTGATCTTTGACAGAACAAAGCACGGCTTTCTCAGGAGCCAGACCTCAGCCCTACTTCACTGGGAACCCTTTCTGGAAACTGGAACTGGACACAGCCTTGGCCATGGCGCCTCTCCAGTGGTTTGGGAAGTGGGGCATACAGAGGGGGGGGGGCTCAGCAGAGCTTGGGCAGCCCAGCCCAGCAGGGCAGGTAACAACCAGGCTGGTACTTCAGGCAGCTAGAGAGGCTTCAGGCTCACAGGCTGATAAGTAGTGTGACATCTGGGGATGCCAGAGACAAAAAGCTCTGCAGCTGGACAGGCCTTTGGGTCCTTGAGTCTGTCATTCCTGGCAGATGATGCTCTTCCTTGTTTTCCAGTGGGGACAGCGATTGGAGCTGGGGGGTGGGGTGGTTAGGGTACCCTCAGGACCCACCACCCCATTCATGCTCTGCTGCAAAGATCTGCCCTTTGCCAAGTGAGGTAGTTAAGTCTCGAGCTCCTTTTGAAGGTGCTGGGGTCGCTGAGTCAGAAGGGCCCCAATGGCAGTGAGTGTGGTTTTTAGCTTGAGGGAAGGTGCTACAACCCTGGTGGCGTAGCGGTTACCCGTTGGACTGCTAACTGCAAGGTCAGCAGTTTGAAACCACTAGGTGCTCCTCGGGAAAGGGGCACAGCCTTGGAAACCTTGTGGGGCAGTTCTACCCTGCCCTGTTGGGTTGCTATGACGAATGGACGACTGCAGCAGGTCGGAAAGGGCTGGCCAGACAGAAGACACCAGAATGTGGCCAGGCTGAAAGGGGCTCATGGAAACATGCCCCTTGGGGAGAGGTGGAGCACGAGCTGGAACTGTCCGGTTTGAGACACAGCTGCAGGTAGCTAAGTGGTACAGGTCTTTTAAAAGCAATTGATCAATCACAGGATTAACAACCTGGGCCTATTTGGGAAAGAAACCACAAAACCTTTGCTCAACAGGAGGACGAGAGACAGAATGTGGGCACAGCCAGCTTTGTGGCTGGGGCCCAGCTGTGTGTAGGAGAGACAGGCTTTGGGTTACAGCACCTGAAAGATACTGGGTTTGACTTGGAGCTTAACTAAGCAAAGGGGTAGCTCCTTTTGATCAGCTGGTGGGGCTTGTGCCTGGAGGAACATTCAGAGGGGTGGGGCATGTGAACACCTGTGGGTGTGTCTGAAGCCCTATAGGAGGAGTAAGGCCTGGGCCACTCACTTGCTGGCAGCTCATAACCCACCCAGAAGTACGTGGAAGACATGCCTGTGGTTTTCCGTGAGGTCACAGCCAATGAAAAGCCCATGGAGCAGTTCAGTTTGACCTGCAGGGGGTGTCCAAGAGATAACTGGATAACCCTCTGGCTACTGAGCAGTGGCATTTTAACTAAGGTCGTCCAAAGCCAGCTTGGGTGGTCACTTGCAGAACGTCAGATTTGAAGGCATCCCATGCTACCAGATACTCTGGCTTAGTGAGCTGGAGTGTGACCTGGGGACGAGGATAGGGTGTCGTCGCGTTGCTGTCTAGGGCGGAGGTGGCTCCCTGATGTTCAGCCGAGATTTCCATCTCATGCACGTAGGGCTACACGGGAGTCAGACTCCCCAGGACCACCACGCTGAAGAACATTTAAAGGAAAAATGGTCTTTTAAAGAATCTCCATTCTTGTCCGAGAGGATTAGAATTCCAGCGCCATTTTGCATCTTCGCTGGCACCAAGTCTTCAAATTATGTATGCTTAGAATGAAAAACATTTACATCCGAAGAAGAGAGGCTGGCTGGGGGAGCCATTGCTTGTTTTAATATAACGGTTCTGGGGGCAAGTGGAACCCTCGCATGTAGTCGCCGGCGGAAGCAGGGAAGCCCCGCCCCAGGTGTGTGGCTGGAACTGCCCAGGCTTTTCAGTGAGCGCTCCGGGGTCGCTGGCATCTACTTTGGGCGGGCAAAGCAAGGTCCCCAGAGCTGAAGGCAGTGGAACCGGTGGGACCGTCCACTCGGGGCGTGCGTGGCAGTCCGGCGGCCACAAAGGCTTCGTCTTTCCCCGAGGGGCTTTCCTACCCGCGCTCGCGCTTCCTCTCCGCGGAGGTGAGCATGTGAAACGGAGTCAGGGGGCTCCGGGCACCGCTTCCCGTGCGGTCCGAGCGGCGGCC